TTTCTTACCTACAACAATGGTTGTTGACAAAAGTGTACTTGTCCAAATGGTTTATTATCAATTAAGAATATGTAACCAAACATAGCATTATTCTTACTAAACCTTCCTTATTATTTCAAGATATTGTTAGTACGAAAAGTATCATTTCAAAAAAAAAACTTTTGCGAGAAAAGGCATAAAGTGCTTCAGCTGTCTACACCGGACTTGTATTTGAAAATTATTTATTATTTGAGTTAGTTTTTTTTTATTGAAAACATGACTTTTAAGGTTTTATAACATAAATGATGATGTTGTTTTAATACCATGTTTATGCTCATTTCTGTTATAAGGTTTACTTGGCTTAATTAATTATACAGGTAACGAACACGGCTTGCCGTATTTTTTTATTATGTATTTTAAACATACAAAGAACCTAACGGCGATTAATGGCAGTTATTTAAAAACCTCACCGGATATAGTTGACAGTCAGATTTGACACTGTTTAAACATGGGTGTGAATGAATGATATCGTCAGGGGCTGGACGAATTTGCGTGGTCCCTCCGGTACTTTAAGCATCTTGATAGCACTTCCTCTATCAATTTGTGATAACCGTGACTTTTACTTCCCCAAATTTTATACAGTTATATATATAAGGCAGAAAGGCCTAGTAGACGATCTGAAAGATTTGTGTTTTTATTCTATATATATATATATATATTTAATACAAAATGCATACCAATTTAGATGTTGCGTTTCTTTTTTCGTTTCAGTATATAAATTACCTTCGAAAACTTTTATGTTTTTACCTTTAGTTTTAGCTTCATTCTATTAAATTGTGACAATGCTGTTTGTAATTGCATTTCCTGCCCACTAGAAGTTTCATCCTTTTTTTTCTCGAGTTTCATTACCGGTTATAAAAAATGTGTGATTGATCACAATGTACTCCACCATTTTCCATGTTTCTGAATGCAGGTTGTTGGCTCGGCAATGATTTGGGTTTAGGTTTATCAGGAACGTAATAAGTAAAAATACTTAGGGTTTTTTTCTTTTCATTTCTACGCACTCGTGAAAATCATCAAAATATTCAATCACATTGTAAAATATGATTCTTATTTATTAGAAAATAATTAAGACTATTCTCGATACACACGAATTTTTTATGTGAATTAATGTCAGAGGACGGTTACATTTATTAGAAAAATTCATCCTTATTCCAGAAAACTTTCAGCAGGAAATACATAATATCATATATCAACATAATAGACGTGTGTCGACTACAGTGATTTGTTTTATAACTCAAACTGACGTTTACTTATGTTATTTCATTTTCGTTAATGACAATTGATAAGTTCAGTCTTTTATATAATATTTAAACAAAAAAACACAAGTTTTCTCTCCGTCGTGATTCAAAATAATACGTTTTATTCGTTAAATCCTTCTCGGAATACGCTCTTCAACTTCAGATAGATTAGATGTCTACTTTTGGACATTCAAACACTCACAACAATAATGCTCCATTGAGATTGGCCAACTAGCTTTTGGAATAGGAGTGTATAACGGGGATAACGCTATCATTGACACAAGGTGCCTGTAAATAGACAGGGTAAATATAACGGAACACCCCTGCCGATCACCAGTTTGTTTGTACTGTACGGAAGGTGGGTTCTCACGTTGCAAACAGAACTTCAAAATACGACTTAATTGGTTGGAAATGCACCAATTGGTTGGACTGGTTTTCAGTTTGGACAAATTGGTACATGAAACACGAAAAAAATCGTTATTTACAACATTAATATCATTCCATTTGAGAGCGTTTGTAATAATACGTAAAATTTGACAAATAATACATGACAATACATATAACGTATGCTTTCATTGGTTGTACGTAGGCACATTTACCAGCGTACAACGTTGAAAAAAAATCCAATTTGTGTCGATTTTCATTCTGGAGACTTCAGGCATAATGACGTGACGTCATCGCTTGGCCCATTGTTCAATTGTTCTACGTCATATATTTTCAAATCACATTCTGATCAGAATTTGGCTTGGCACTCTCTAAGGAGATTCCTGTAGCACTCAAAGAAGAAGCCATGTTAATTTCTTTGTGTGATAAGTTCACAGATTCAAGAGACCTTTTAGTAGTAAGAAATTTGTCTATGTGTTTGTTGGGGTTTGCAGTTTTTTTGCGTTTTAAAGAGTTATAAGCAATTTGCGTTGTAACGATGTTAAAGTTTTCTCAGAGCATTTTTCATTGCAGGCCAGGAAAAGTAAGACTGATCAGTATCGATTTGGGAAAGCGATTGTCATCAGTGAGGGTCATACTTCGGCATGTCCCTATGTAATGTTGAAGAGGTACACCAGTTAAGGAGAGATTGATTTAGATTCGGATGATTTTCTATTTAAGCAGGTTTAGCGTTTGAAAATTGTGTGCGGTGAAGGTAATTTTGGTTTACATTCCCTGAGAGCGAGAGGGGCTAAAAAATGAACGATTATCAGATGTAGTCAATCGGATATAGTTTCGTTACTCAAGACTTTCAATCCATTCGGTTTCTTTTAAAGGACCTATGGAATATATTAGTGCCTGTCATTTCTTACGAAATATGTTATCGAGGCTTTATGTTATGCAATACTTAATCGTCCAGATTGTAAGTCAAATATTTTACGTATAATGCCGCAGGAAGAGTCGATGACCTGTTGCGATCGGGGATTGCGATCAGGACCTCCACGCGTCGCGATGGTGAAGACTGAGTTATTAGCCTTACAAACCAGCGTAACAGGAGGTTAGCGGCTGCTGAAACGGCAAGGAATACGATTGGTAAACGTGAACATCGGATTTATTCCCAAACAGACTGCAGATCGACAGAAAATTCCTGTAGGAACTCTTTTCTAAACATTTTCTTCGGGTTGGTAAGTATGGATTATGAGAAGTTCTTTTTACACAACCAATACAATTTTCTATGTGAAGTTTCGATGACTAGTACGATATGTGCACTGTCACCTTCATCAGACAAATGGCCAATGAAGCGTATGCACACAAAGGTGTACAATGTGTACGAGTTGTCTATAAAAATCGATGTCGATTTCGACTACGCTGGAAACGTATGTACAATAGTTGTTATATATGTACCGAAATGACTCAATTCAGCTACGCTTTGTTAACACTTGGTCATAGATGTGCGAGAGTCTTTGAGCCCCTCGTCTCGATTTAGAACTGGCCCACTGCGGCGTATCCAGATGGCTTCCTTTATCTGCCGCTTGAACAGATTGCTCTCTCTGTCTAAAACTTTGGAGATATCCCAGTCAATCACATGTTTTTTCTTTGTGGCATGGTCTGTGATTGCCGATTCATTTATCTGGGACTCCGACTGTTTTCTTTCAGATCTGGTGAATTTCCTACCTTCTTGGGTTTCTGTGTCTTTCCGGTGTTCACCAAGGCGGACCCCCAAATCGCCTTCCATTCTCTCCAATATACGACGCGTCGCAGTTTTTGCATCCGATTTTGTATACGCATTCTGCGACGTTTGCTTTAGGTTTTTTATCCTTAGGGTGTACTAGGAAATTGCAAAGCATCTTGTGGGGCTTCATGGCTGTTGCTATGCCATGACCGCGATATATCCTCTGGATGTTTTCGGATATAACCTTTATATACGGGATGACCATTTGACCATTGGTTTTGTTCTTATCCTTGAATGGCCTTTTCTTGTTTTTCGCCTTACTTTGACACTGGTTTTTTTTATCCGTGTTAGGGCCCATTTCGGATATGCACATGCTCTCATTGCCCTAGCGATGTGATTCTGCTCTTTTGTTTTGTCCTGTTGTTCTGTGACTATTGTATCACATCTGTTGAGCAAGGTGCGTATGACGCCTAACTTCTGTTGTAAAGGATGGTGAAATTGGAAGTTCTGGTATTGGTCCGTATGGGTCTATTTTCTATAGACCAATACCTTCACGGTTCCGTCTTCTTTCTTTACCAGTAGAGTGTCTAGGAAGGGCATTGTGCCGTTGGTTTCTTCCTCACGTGTAAATTTGATGATGTTAGTGGCATCTATGGTGTTGATATGTGTGGTCAAATCTTTCTGTGACCCCTCCTTGATTATCTCAAGTATGTCGTCAACATAACGTTTCCATAAGCTAGGCTTGCATTCTATCGGGGCAGTGGCTATTGCTCCTTGCTCCAGATGCTCAATAAACAAATTGGCAACAATGGGAGACACTGGACTACCCACAGCAGTGCCGAAGCGTTGTTGATTGATGTTGTTCCGGAAACTAAAATATGTTGTTGTGAGTACAAACTCCAGCAAATCCATGATGTCCTGAATCTGAAGGTTTGTGTTTTTTCCCATGGATCTGTCTAATTCTAAGCGTTTCCGAATGATTCTAAGTGCGTTGTCAATGGGAGTGTTAGTAAAGAGAGAGACAACATCATGTGAAATGAATTCTTCGTCTTCCTGAATCATGATGGTAGACATAGCTTCCGCTAGATGTTTTGAATTCTTTACATGGCAACCACAGACCATGCCGCAAAGAAAAACATATGATTGACTGGGTAACTCCAAAGTTGTAGACAGAGAGAGCAATCTGTTCAAGCGGCAGATAAAGGAAGCCATCTGGATACGCCGCAGTGGGCCAGTTCTAAATCGAGACGAGGGGCTCAAAGACTCTCGCACATCTAGATCTATGACCAAGTGTTAACAAACCGTAGCTGAATTGAGTCATTTCGGAACATATATAACAACTAGCCGAAATCGACATCGATTGTATAGACAACTCGTACACATTTTACACCTTTGTGTGCATACGCTTCATTGGTCATTTGTCTGATGAAGGTGACAGTGTACATATCGTACTAGTCATCGAAACGTCACATAGAAAATTGTATTGGTTGTGTAAAAAGAACTTCTCATAACCTGGGGAACTCTATCTAAATCAGAGATTCAGATTAGAGTTCCTACAGGAATTAATCAGCAGACTGCGTGAGACTTATTTGCGTGCACGGCGGGAGTACATTGGTTTACCACTAACACTGCGACGTCGGACACGTCGTATGTAATGGATGACGGTACATATGCCAAGACATTTTCCTAAGTAATGTTGGAGGTTCATGCTTCTCACAGATGAATCTCGATTATTTCGAGTATATGGCCGTCAACGTGTGTACCGGCGCCGGTAGGGGCGACCGTTTTAATATGCTGACGCCTGTGTTTTGGAGCATGACCGATTAAGGGGTGGTTAGGTTATGTTTTCGGGGGGATCTCCCATGGTTTGCAGACACCATTGGTGATTGTCAGTTGCAATTAAACGGCCGTGCGTAGCTGTTAATAGGACGTTAAACAAACTAAATCCAAAACCAAGCTATCGGGATGTTGTATCTGTCATCCATTAATAAATGGAGCATCTTGTTAACATACTTTTTATAACAAATACTTTGCAAGAACTGTCACACTTTATATTAAATATCTAGTAACGATTTACACATGATTAGAATGTGATGGATCGTCATCAAAATATGACAATTAAAACAAAATATGACAACTAAAACAGCTCGTGATTTCGTTCAGAGTAGTGCGGTAGTAGGTCAAACAATTAAGGCTGTCATGCTTTATTTTGTCCTCGCACAGGTAACGTTTTTTCATAGGAATTAAAAAGTATTCTATAGAAAAAAAAGAATAACACGATTGAATTGATTTTAATATAGCCTGATCCTAGAGCTTTAAACTTTTGAAAGAATATTGAAATATATTTTTTTATAGTTTTCCTGTGTGAAAAATATGTCAGATTCTTTTAAAAGAGAGTGACGGTCTGGAATGCTTTTTCTTTCGTTTTTAACTATAATATTTCCATTTCTACAATGATCTAAGATTTGTTGCGATGTGTAAAACACGTTTATGACCTACAGACTTGAAACTCTCTGTTGTCTCAGTGAGCTATATAAACGGGTGTTACGGAAAGGTAGAAGTCACTTTGTGAAATAGTTCACAATCTGATATCAAAAAGACTTTTTAAAAAGGTTGTTAAAATCCATATGTTTACCGCTCCTTTTCGACCTTTTTATCGCAGACGTCTTTTTAACATACCATAAACTCCATGTGGCGTTTGACTTGAATTGAGTCACAAAACTTAAAACTATTTTTCCATTTATAGTGACCTTGACCTTCGATAATTTTACCTGAAAAAACAATCTCTGTAGGTGTTATGGACAAGGGAGTGTTTATAAAATTTGATTTTGATTGAGCCAGTTGAACTGTAGTAGATACTGTGAAATCACTTATTTTCGTAGGGTTTTTAATTTCGTTGATTTCGTGGGTACTTTTCATCCACGAATTAAATTTAATAGGTCCTGGAAGTAATTTACAGGTTTGAAATAAAACTATTCTTCGTATGAATGGGTACTTGTAATCCATGAATTCATGTACCCATGAAATGGCGTTTTTTAGGGAACTCACGAAATGTGGGTCCTACGAAAATATAATCTTATTTCTCTGTATGTGTGTTTGTTACCTCAATATCACACAGTTAAATGTTTTGTATTCATTCTCAAGGAGACTCAATTACAAAGATTTTTTTATTTAAAACTAGCCTAATCATTCAAATTGACCGCACCATTTACTTATAAGAAGAACATGTATTACATCTATTGTTTTGTTTTTGTCTAATTTAAATCCTTGTGACACAGTTTCTTGAAGCACAATTGAAACAAGGCAAAGTACATCAAAAGAAATATGTAGCCCCCACCTCTTGACAAAAGTCACTTTTAGACAAAACACTTTAACTTGTATTTTTTCCTTTTAAACTTTGAATTTTATTTCATTTCATAAATAAATGACAAATATAAATGTACAGGCAAATTGAAATATATTTAAGGATATCACAGTTCACGGTCAGATTTCAGACAAACAGGCTGTATTATATTAGCAATCTTCCCGCAGTGTGGTGATTTGCACACCTTAAGTTTCAGGGAAATTTTCAAAAACATAAAAATTTATCAACAATCATCAGGCTATGTAAAATTTTACTAACACAGAAATGGTGAAATGTTGCTTTTAATAACCTGGCTCATATAAATGAAAAGAAATACTTATCTTTCATAGAAAAGATAACATAGAATACATGTACATCAGAGAACATCCTGTGTGGAGATGTTAATAGATACGCCTGTATTCACTGTACAAATCCTGGAATGCTTCTCAATCAATATTATTGCATTTTCAGTTTGTATCAATATAATCCACAAACATCAAATATTGTGCAAATTATGTGTACAGCATGAAATATGTTTACAAAACATGGATATAACAAAAAGGTATTAAGTGTGAATTTATCTTCAAAACCTGTGGTGCTTTTATTTCTTACATTTTAACTTATATACTGGATAATGCTTATAACAAACTAATATATTAGGGTTCTGTGGTCTTTTTTCATGAACAAGTTTTCCTGTAAATCCAGCTTTAGAATATTCACACTGTAAAAGGAGTGAATTCCATTCTGAAACTATTGATAAACCCAATGGAGTTGGTAAAATAATTTTGTAAATATATGGATGGGTAATTGTAAACTGTGACCTCTGTTCATAGATCAACTATATTATGGACTGGTAATATTATACAGTAACATTGCATGTAACAAATTCAAACTCCTCATTTCTGAACTACACTTGCTTGCTCGAGGCATTAAACAGATGTTCCAATCAAAGATTCCTATTACATAAGTATTGAACCTACTGAAATCCTACACATTCTGACAATACATGTACATTCCTAAATTACTCCATTTTTGTATCAACTAAACAGAGTGCATATCAATTAAAATGGTTCTCCCATACACAATCATGCTGTTTTTACAAAATCGTATTTCAGATCTTGGTTGCTAAATTCATACATTAGATTCCTGTGAGAGCTACAGATACCAGGTACAGGCACAATCAGATGATTCCAGTCAAAGTCCATAGCACAATAGCACAAGTAAAGAGCAAAGATGCCATCATTTATGGATAAGACAAGAATTAGAACAGTTCTCTGACTTTGTCAATATTTTTGTTCCAACTTTCCATCCAGCGATCTTCAGCATGGATAAGTCTCTGCCTCTCATCCTCGATGGATTGTAAGGTGTCTGCAAACTGGACCTTGTAGTCCTATAAACATACAACAAGATGTTACTATTGTTACAACAGTGGTTACAAAAACAGTGGCACATTGCTACTACTGATTTAATGCATTCACCCCTGAAATTTCATAATGTACTTTTCCAACCTATGAATTGGAAGAGTTCAAATGTGTCATTAGGGGTGAAAGAGTAAACTCATTCATCCCTGAAATTTCATAATGAACTATATTCCAACCTTTGAATTAGAGGATTTCAAATGTGTCTTCAGGGGTGAAGGAGTTAACATTACCCAGTGATATGTATATACACAATGATGAATTACTATTCATAGAATTTGCCAATGCTGCCACATTATAAATTGTACTTGATTTGATTATCAATTAACACTGTTTCAGATTATTTATCTTAATTAAAATTTTTGAAATTTTCCTTCTTTCCATCTTTTCTTTATATTTATCTTTTAAGTCTCTTTAAAGAGGTCCCTATCTCCAGTGTTAAAAGACTGACTTACATGGTAGGCTGCGTCACGAGCCTTAACCACGGAGCTGTGACCTAATGTTGTCTTGGCTGTAGTCACGGATGCAGTGGTCTGACTCTTAGCAGGAGGAGATCCAACTACCAACTCGTTATTGGGAATACCTGGAATATGAAGGTCATAGGTCAAACAAATATCAAAAACATAAGGAAATGGTTTGAACTTTCATAGAGGCAACTCAAAGCCAACTCCACTTGAAATATAAAGGTCAGAGGTCAAACAAATGTCTTACATACATGTAGGAGGAAATTGTTTGAACCTTCAAAAGGGCAACTTAAACAACCAACTAATTGATATGTACGTCAAAGTTCAAACAACTGTCATAAAGGGCAAATTGTTTTTGAAACTCAGTCAGGAAGAGGTTGGAATCTTAGTGAGGCTTTAACCATCCCAGTCATTACACATAATGCACAGAAATGTTTGGGTCATCTTTGATCGAGGAAGAAGCACTGTATATTACTTACGTGAATATCAACCAACAGTAACAGATATCATACCTATAGAGGCCAGAGGTCAATGTCTGAGCCCCCAGAGGAAAGAAATTTCGGATTGATTGGTTTGTTAAAACCTACCTGGCCAAACTGTCTTGCCACGTGGTAGAGCGTCTTTGTCATCACTGTCCTCCAATGGGAGGCCAGCATTTCTCCTTCGGATCAGTTCACTTGTTGGGTACTTCTTAGCATCTATGCCTGTAACACATGAGTACATGTGCTTGTAACATTTACCATACAAACATTTCATTACCAGTAAAACCTCTAACGTATATAATTCCCTTTGTTTCATTTGCCACCTCTTTACCGTGAATATATTTCTATGTCCCTTTTTCTTGTTTTCTCAGAATTTCTCTACACATTGTCATCAATTTACTGTCAAACCCCTTTATATTGCCAAAATTTCTCTGGACAAATGTTGGCAGTATAACAAGGTTTTATTGTATTTACATTTATACAGATAGATCCTTTCCACATCCATTACGATATACTGTCATGTCTGCATTACTGAAGGTTTTCTCAGTTCTTTCCTAAGTAAGGAATATCAGCAATGAATGAATACAAGCTTTCTCAGAAAAATCAGCCCAGTAGTAGGGACACTTACGTCCTCTCTCAACGTCATCTACCACCAACTGGTTGTCATACTGCAGCAGCTGGTTCTCTGACGATCGGGCCAATATCTCCAGGAATGTCTTGGCACACTCCACAGTCACCTCCTTTAAGGAAATTGGTACAGGTTTACTGTAGATATCTTACAATCAAAACCTCTAGATGTTAATTTCATAATTAACATGAAATTTATAGATATTCTATAATCAAGTATGACATGTATACACAAGAGTCCCAATGGGCCTGCATCGCTCACCTGGTATTAATCTCACACTCGTAGCCTTAAAAGTGATATAAAATATAGCTACAGGCAAAATATCAGTATTTATGACTACTATTCATTCAAAAGAACATTTAACACTTGACAAATGACCCCTGTGACCTTGAATATAAGTGAAGGTCATTCATTTGAACAAAGTTGGAAGCCCTTCATCCCAGCATGCTACTCAGACCAAATATCACCATCCTGGTCCTTTTGGTTATTCTTCAGAACTTGTTTAAATGTTTTTAAGACAAATGACCCCTGTGACCTTGAATATAAGTGAAGGTCATTCATTTGAACAAAGTTGGAAGCCCTTCATCCCAGCATGCTACTGGCCAAATATCATCACCCTGGACATTTTGATTATTCAGAAGTTGTTTAAAGTTTTTAACATATTTGATCCATGTGGCCTTGAACATGGGTGAAGGTCATTAGCTTCACTATGTCATTATGGGTGAAGGTCATTAGTTGGCATGGTGAGCTAATAATGTTACAAATCTAGAAAATGTTTCTAAAACAAACATATATGACCCTCATTCAGCTTTGATGTCGAGAATGGAACAACAGAAAAGGCAAACACTTCATCGCCCCCCTCCGTTATGTGGCAAGAACATAAATACTGTATCAAAGTCTTGATCATCTTGTTATAAGTAACACCAACTGCATTTATCATTATTTGCCCTGAGTGTAATTTAACATTATCACGTTTAGGTCAAGTGTTCTAAGTTAGTATTCGGTTCCCCTATTTTAGTAACAAAGCATTATGGGATATAGAAGATAAAGGCCATTAATTTAACCATGACTCGGGGAAAGTTTGACCACTTTTGTTTCGTAACCAGATACATTGTAGTTGACTTCATGTTCAATATTGTATACGGTTAACCAAAATAGATCATGGTTAGGAAACCATTGATCTCTGTCTTCATACGAATGTCACTCACCCTGAACAAATCAAACAAAACTCATTGATCTACTATGAACAGATTCTGTGTAAACTTGACTTGTTCTGGCCAGTTTATGTGTAAACTTCAACATAAGATGTTGTAAAACTGACCAGTTCTGAGTTGTCCATGACCAGTGCCTTTGTGAGCTTGACCAGTGTTGATGTGACATGAAAAGAGTTATTGACCAGTTTGTGTGTTACCTTGATCACTTTTGGTGTGACCTTGACCTAGTGATCTATAAGTGATTGGGTGGCATAGTGATTACTGCAGTACTGCAGTTGCCTTTCACTAAAATAGCTAGGGTTCAATTCCCCCACTGGACGTGAAACCATATATGGAACCAAAATGCCCAACCACGTGGGTTTACTCTGTGTTCCTCCTTTGTTAAGATTCCTACACATTAATATTATAATTTGTTTCCTAGTTCATTCTTTATAAAGTAAATAAAGTTTAAATGTTTAAGTTACCTGTAGCTCCTTTGTGTGTTTCTCCACAGCAGATACATAATCTGTGTGGCGTTCCACTTCCTTCTTACACAGATTCTTCATGCCGTCCTGCTGGTGTGGATGGCCTAGTATCGGACGAAGCAGGTGTTCATGTTCCTTCTGTGTACAGAAACAAGCATGCTTATCACACCCTCCATTTAAATTAAAACAGGCAGTTTGGAATACAAAAAAACACATTTAAAAAAAAAACATAATTGCAAAAGAGGCAATATTTAATTGTTACAAATTATTGTTTCTGTTTGTTCTTATCATGTACTCTTTATTTTTGTATATGTATTTTGTAAAGGGAAATTTTGACTACATATTCTGGTAAAAATTAAGCTGATTTCTCACAAACATTTTTTCCACTCATATCATTTTCCAAATCAATTAGGTAATTAGAAATATTTAATCGATAATTTTTTTCTTTTTTAAACTTCTATGAATAAATTTCTCAAATTTCGAAAAGGGTACATTAATATTTTCACAAATACCTTCTCATAACACAACAACAAAATCATCACCCTCAGATGAAAGATAACTATGTACCTGTCTCTTCTCCAACTTATTGAGGATCTGAGTGAACTGGTCAGTGCGAGTCTGTCTGGTCAAAGTGCACTTCTGGATCTCATCATTAAGAAGGTCCTTGATCACCAGACTAGGGATGTGGGCTACAGAGTGCTCTAGGGTAGTCAGCTGACCTCGATACTCTGTAACAAACAGAACACAATACATCTCCAGCACACACACAGGCATACACACATAGGGAGATATTAGCCAGGTGGCATAGGACTTGTAGTTAGCGCCTGATAAGGCAGCTCCTGCGAATTCCTCAATATTGTATTGATTAATATATATGCTAATTGTATTGACTGTATAAAACTGTATATCTATTTCTGTAAAGCGCTTTAGAGTGGCTGGTGTTAGCTATATAGGGCGCTATATCAGATGTTGTATATATATATTTTAACGGGGAAAAAAAACAATGTCACACTTCATTTAACAATGTAATTACAGTAAGTCAGGCAATATTAATTACCTTGATCTGCTACATTGCATATCATTCTTAAAATATTTTCTAGAAACCCTGAAGTGTCCTTACTGTACAGTTCTAATTGTACTGGAGAAACAGAATATCATACTCTACTCTGATGATCATACCAATACTGCAAGTAAAATGTGGGGAGTTCATATCCTATAACATGTACCTGTCTAATGTCAATCCTCTATCTTTTAGCAACAGGATATCATACTTTTTGTATTATAGTAAATAAACAATATATGGAGAACCAGAATATCATACTCCTCACATGAGAACAGTATTTCCAGAAACAGAACATTAACAATTCTACCAGTATCCTGTATTGGAGAAATAGAATATCTCATTTGTCACACTTACCTTGTAAACACTGATTGTGGTACTCGTCTGCCTGAGTGAAGTAGGAGGACAACTTTTGTGTGATAACCTCAGCATACTGGTCAAAGTTTTCCTGAAGAGCCTGTGGTCGCGTCACCAAACGGTTCCCTTTCTGGCGGTAGTACATCTAGCAAATGACACAAAAGTTTGTAAGTATACAGTAGAAAGTTGCATATTGGTTGCTTAAACTTCCACAGAAATTACTCATTCACCCCTGAAAATTCATAATGAACTATTCCAACCTTTGAATTGGGAAAGTTCAAATGTGTCTTCAGGGGTGAATGAGTTAGTTAAGTGCTACAGTCAGATCTGCAGAGTTTATGCATTACCTCCCCTGATGTAAGGAGTCCATCCAGAGCCTCTCGAAGTGTTCGTTTAACGACGCCAAGTAGGTGGCGCTCCTCATCTTCCTCATCCTTCTCCCCAAAGATCAGGTACTTCCTGTCAAACTTGGTTGACTTGCTACTCCTCCTCAAACTATAAAAATTAAAATAAAACAATCATTTAATACCGTGAGTAGATTAGATATTTGTGTTATCATGCACTCGAAGATATGATATCTAAATATGCATATACATATGTATATTCCTCTGTCTTATCTCCTTAGATGGTTTTATTTGTTAACTAAGCTATTCAATTTAACTCATTCACCCCTGAAGACACATTTGAACTCTTCCAATTCAAAGTTTGGAATAGTTCATTATGAAATGTCAGGGGTGAACAAGTTAACAGATTTCAGAGACTAACCATCCCACTAAAAAGAATTCCTAAATTCTGTAGACTAAAATGACTGATCTTTTAACCTAACATTTTTCATTATTTTTAAGACCATAAAGACTTTGGTTGTCTTAAATTACCTAATGTTTCCCATTAGTCTACAGACTAAGGAAAATTTGATTATCTTGCCCAGGGTTTACTGTATTTCTATAGACTAGAGGGTGTGGACCTGGATAAAGTTGTGAAGGGAAGATAAGTCTGAACAAGGCAATTTGGATACCGATACAGGTTTTCAAGAATTACGCATATTGATAAACAAGGCAATCAGGACATTTTCCACAGTTTTCACAAGTAAATATGGACACTTTATACATGTTTTCAATGGGGAATCTAGTATAACAAGTAAATATGGACACTTTATACATGTTTTCAATGGGGAATCTAGTATAACAAGCAAATATGGACACTTTGTACATGTTTTCAATGGGGAATCTAGTATAACAAGTAAATATGGACACTTTGTACATGTTTTCA